AAATAAAATAAAAAAGGGCTGAGAATGTAGCTGGTACTGGGGTTCCATCCCCAGTACCCCCCATAAATAAATAAATACATAAAATAAACTTTAATAATTTAATAACTTTGTGAAAGCTCTTATAAAATGGGAAACACCTAATCTTTAATCAAAAACAAATTCTAAGTTGCTGGGGGTAAAGTTCTTCTCTATAGTCTCTACTGAAATAATACAATGCCATAACAAATTTCTAAAGAACAGGGGAGAAGAAGGAAATTAACACATATGCAACTCTAATACGTGTCAAGCATTGTGTTAGATACTTTACCTGTTACTTCAATTAATTYTCATCAATAACTCTGAGGGAGTTACTAACCACATTTTACACTTAAATAAACTAAGTTCTGAAAGGTTAAATAAGTTTTACAGGTTAAAAAAATATTTAGTGGCAAATTAATTAATTCAAGTTTAGGTATATCTAACTAAAAAGTCAGTCTTCTATATATCACATGAATTTTTAATATATCGTTGTATCATGGGTAATATGTCAGGCATGGTTGTGTATGCCTGTAATCAATCCTAGCTACTTGGTAAGCTTAGGCAGGAGAATCACAAGTTTCAGGTCAGTCTGGGCAATTTGGCAAGACCCTGTTCCAAAATAAAATAAAGAGTAAGGGTGTAGCTTAGTGCTTGCATAGCATGTGCAACGGTTCAATCCATAATGCTCCCCATCTTCCCCCCACATACACAAAAAGGGTCACATGCCCACAAACGTAAAAATCTCAATTTTAATACTAAAACCAAAAACAAAGAGAGAAATGAAAAAATAACAAGATTTAATGACTTGGTAACTTTTTTTTTTTTTAATTTTTAGTTGTAGATGGACATGACACCTTTGTTTATTTATTTTTATGTGGTGCTAGGGATCAAACCCAGTGCCTCACACATGCTAAGCGAGTGCTAGGCCAGTGCTCTACCACTAAGCCACAACCCCAGCACCTTGATAACATATTAATATCATTAAGTATTCTACCAAAATACAGATCGGGAAGAGGGATACAGTCCACAAAGGTGAGCTCTAGGTGATAAGACTAGGGGGAAAAAATGGGGAGGGGCTGATCATAGAAAGCCAACAATGTCAGGATACTGGGTATGAATTCAGAAATTAGAGCATCATATCAGGTGAAATAACTAATGAAAATGTCTAGCATGCTACAGCGGTACACACCTGTAATCCCAGCAGTTTAGGAGGCTGAAACGGGAGAATGGCAAGTTCAAAGCCAGCCTCAGCAAGGCAAGGCACTAAGCAACTGAATGAGATCCTGTCTCTAAATAAAATACAAAAYAGGGCTGGGGATGTGGCTCAGTAGTTGAGTACCCCTGACTTCAATCTTAGTACCCTCCTAAAATAAGAAAATTAATGTTGTCTAAGAGAATTGTTTTGAAGGAGAGAGGAGGAGTACAGTTAAGGGGCTATACAGTTGGTTGGGATAAAGACTGAACTGGAACTTGWTTGTGGAAACAGAAAAAAGACTTGTAAGATAACAGGGAGAAATCAATAAACACCTACTTTATTCATCCCATTACCTATTAACTATTCCCTCTACCTTTATCTGTGTTTTATTCATAACAGCATAGAAAACCCAAACAGTTTAAAAACTCAATTGTTAGTTATCAAGTCCTTAAAATTTAGCTCCCAACATAACTTAAAATTTACCTTCATGGCAAAACTAGATGGCATCATATTCTTTGGCCATTCAAATTCTGTTGTGTGAATCCGTATGCCAGATTCAAGTAAAAGTGTTGCTTTAAAGTCTGGTCTATAGAAGAAAAAAGGTCAAATTTTTAAGGGAATTTGCCAAAGTTTACTCTATAAAACAGATTTAAAATGTGGATAAGAAAATCAAAAATCTCATAATTACCAAAGAGAAAACAAACCTATAAAATTTTCTTACTTTTGAAGACGAATAAGATATGTCTTATTATCCACATCATAAACATTGTTTACTCTCATTCCTAGCAAGCTGAAAAGACAAAAGAAACATGTAACAAAACACACTATTGTTTGAAACATAAAACTACRCACAGTTTAATTAAAGCTGCAAAACAGGAACTCTTCAGCTTTATCAAAGTGGGAGTCCAGAGACCATTAAGGCATTCTGTCCGAAACTTAAAGCGTAACCACTTAAGCACAGAAGTGGTCTGTCAGCCCTGGGAACATCATAAAATGCCTCGCGTCTTTGAAATAACTCACTCCTTTGGGGCGGGGGGTATAGTAAAATGTAACCAATTTATGACAAAAAGAGAAAAAAGACAAACGAGGCCCCCGGAAGTATGACAAAGGTCACTCAGATGAATAATACGAAACAAGACCAGAATCCAGGTCTCAGTCCATATCTGCCAATGCCAGTTGAAACAGCAAGGTTAGCTTTCTCTGGCGTGAGGGCTGTTGAGGAAACCAGGCCTCCGGTCTGGAAACCAAAAAACAGAGGACCAACTGGCGTCTCCGGTTATTCCAAACATTTGCTGCCAGACCAGGGTCGACAAGGCGAGAGCGCCGCAATTGCGGGACAAAAACAGGGCGCAGAGGGCTGGAGAAGGGGTCCGCGGTCCCTGGGGCCTCCCGGGTGTCCTGAGGGCAGCAGCAAAGACGCCACGCGCAAGCCCACCCGGGCCTAACCAGGTCCACAGAACAGACTGGAAGGCAATAAGGGGACACATCAGGCTGGTCTTGTTTTCAACGTGGGGCCCCTGATCTGCTTCCTGCAGTTCTAGCAGGAGCCTAGCCACCTACAGGACCGTACCTAGCATTCAGCTCCGCCAATACGGCACGGAGGTCAATCGTGCTAAAGCGCGTCTTCATGGCGAGGCGTTGAGTGTCGCTACCGCAGTTTTCTCCGCTGCCAGCCTGACTCGACGCCGCTACTCTTCCGCGCAGGCGCACTTGAAGGAGACCTACGGTCGCCCTGAGGATCCAATATTCATTGAAGGGAACCCGTTTGCGTATTTGTCTGAAGAATTAACTATTAAATTACAATCGACTCGCTTTTTGTTACACCAAGACAATTCGAAATAAATAGATACAAACTGTTCTCATAAATCTGCATCCCTTCCTCGAACATTTACGGGCCACTCTGGTTACCCTGTCCCCTGGTTTGGGAACTCAATCCAGCCTCCATAGTGACTCCTGCTGGTCATAACAATTTTTAAGGGGAATATCGGGAGAATTCCCCCCGGTAGACGATAGGGCTCAGTATAGAAGAGCAATGACCCTGGATTACTTAAACGTGTCGAATTTRTAAATGTAAGGAAGCCGAACTGTTTCATTCATCCTAAAATTGTCTTCCATGATCGAGGAGAAGCCTGAAAGAGAAGTTACTATTTTCATGGGTACTGCTCTGCGAAAGAGCATTTTGCCTCATCCAACCCTGGTCTCGGTATCCCCGAGACTCGGTGTAGAATCTGGTATACAACTGGGGCTTCATGAATTCTCCTTACCCTGAATAGTCAAGTGTTTCACTAGATAATGATGAAGTAAGATAAACCTAAAAATAAGATTTCTCACTTTGTGGGGGATGGAGGATGAAACAATGTGTGAAATTAATAGTCATGCAAAAAAAATATATAAATAGGCAAGTTTTGGTTGTCTTARGGTAAATTCATGGGAAGAAAGACCACTTTAATTGAGAACTCAAAAGACCTGGGTCTCACTATGTTGCCTAAGTTGAGCCGCAGTTGCTATTGACCACTGCAATCCCACTGTTGATCAGCACAGGAGTTTTTATTTGTTTATTTTGTTCCTGGTGATTGAACTTAACCACTGAACCGCATCCCCAGCCCATTTGATTCCCCCCAGACAGGGTTTCCCTAAATTGTTCAGGGCCTYGCTAAGTTGCTGAGGCTGGCTTTGAACTTGCAATCCTCCTGCTCCAGAGTCGSTGGGTTACAGGTGTTTCTGACTTGCGATGGTTCACCTCCTTAGGCAACCTGAGGGCCCCCAGCTCCTGGGCGGTCACCATGCATAGCGCACAACTCCTGGGGTAAAAAGATACCTCTGCCCTAGCCTCCAGGCATAGAGCAGAAAGCGCCTGGGCTGAGTCTGAGGGCCACACATCTCCGCAACTAGACTCCCTACCCTTAGAAAGTGACACTTAAGATGAAAGGGTGTGGTATAGATTCAGAATAACCCAAGAATTATAGTTGCGAAAGGGGCTACAGTACATATGGCACAACATAACTTTGTCATATGGCACAATATAACTTTGTCATATGGTACAGTAAGCCAAACAGAATTCTCACAATTTGTAATAAACCTTTGGAAGGTTTAAGAAAGATGAAGCTGAGATGATCCCAGTTCAAAGTGCCAAATTGAGAGGACTAATTGTACATAAAAGATACTAAGTTTACCAAGTTTGTTGGCCTGAAGTCCTTCCCAAACAAAAAACTTTTTTCTTTGGAAAAAAAAAGCGCCCATGAAAGACTCCATGTTAAAAGAGAAAACACTCATGTGYTTCTTTAAAAATAAAAACTGGGATTGGGATGTAGCTCAGTACTCCACTGCCCACCCTCCCAAAATGAAGCACCTTATTACAAAACTCTCACCTTAGGACCCAAGACAGTAAGACAGATGTAAGATATCTGTTTAAGTTTTACATGGGAAAATTGACAATTGACAATTTACACAGGACATTGCTTATTGCTTCCATGTCCGTCAAGAAAAATTGGCATTAAAAGGTATGTGCAAGACTGTCTATAAGAGTAGATCAAGATAAATGTAAAGATCACAAGAAAACTTCATTATTTAGTACTGAATTGCATCGTTTCTATTTTTTATTCATTTCTCAGAAAATTATGAACCAAGGATGATTGAGGATTTGTGGGTAAATGAAAAGCTAACAGGAGATAGGCATGTCATCTTCAAATTGTCAAAGTGAATAGTTACTTGACCCAACAAAAAGTTTGTAGGAAATTATTAATAGACCAGTTATAGGCACCTAGAGCTGTGATTCTCACACTTAAGTGTTCATTCAAAAATTCCTGGTATCATACCCAGAGTTTCTGATTCCTTAACTTTGGCTCAGAGTATGTACATTTTCAACTGTGAAGATGAAAGGAACTTGTGACCTACAGGTATAAATTCTATGAATATTTATATGCTCTTGGAGATTCACTAACCTCTAGACAAACAAAGACCACTGGGGTTTTTTCACAAAAAACAAGACATTTATTATTCTCACTTTCTACTCAACTTAGAGAAATGTTCACTGCCTATTCTCAGATGTTTTCATAATTGAGGTGAGTTCCATAACATATAATTCACCATCTTACCCATTTTAWAATGTACAATTCAGAAACTATTGAAATATTCACAGTGTTGTTAAACTGCCTCCATTATCTAGTTCCATAAAATTGAGGTGGATTTTTTTCCCCTGGGAAAAAACAGAGAACACATTTTGGAATTAACCAAAAGCAACAATTCATTCCAGAAAGAACTGCAGATATTAGTGTCATGAAAGCTGCCTAGAGCTTTGAGTCCCTATGTAGCCAACTGCAACCTAACTTAGTATGTGAACAAACTGAAAGTCTAAGAATATATTTTTATAACAAATAGCTGTCTCAGCCAGTCCTAGTAGCTGAGCTCCAGTCAGTTACCAGCTGCTAACTCATCAGACTATGTTCAAACACARCTGTATCTGCACCTCACTTTCCTTTTCTGATGAATACTTCCTGCCCCCATCCCAGAGTTCTCTGAACCTCTTCTAGTTCCGAGTGCTGCATAATTCATGAATCATTCTTTGCTAAATTACTCCCTGATAAATTTAATTAGTCTAATGTTTTCTTTTAATAATTCTAGTATTAACAGTAAACAAATTTAGACTAAAGAACAAAAACAAAAAGTAAGGTTTTGAACAAAGTGTTTTTTAAAAAATCAATGAAATCTGTACTCAAAAAGATAAATGAATCGTAAACATTCCTATGAGTATTTATATGCTCTTGGCATGGGTGAGACCCTTTAAAAACAAAACACCAAAAAAAAAAAAAAAAAGGGAAAAGGATCAATTAACAGATCTGAATACATAAAATTTTGAAGTTGGTGAATATCTTAGCTTGTTTTCCGTTGCTATAAAAAAATACCTGAGGGAAGATAATGTATAAAGAAAGCAAGTTTATTTAGCTTAAAGTTTTGGAGGTCGAAAGTCCAAGATCTGTTTGACTGTTGATGAGAGCCTTCTGTCTATATCATAACATAGTAGATAGACTCAGCAGGACCACATTGGAAAGGGAGAGGGCAGTCATATGGCAAGGAAACAACAGAGATTCAGGTCTTGTTCTTTTCATAACAATTTTCTTTCACTAAACTAACTGGGTCCTGCAATAACTATATTAGTCCCTTCCAAGACCAATGACCTCAACACTTCTACTAGGCACCACCTGTTTAAAGTACTACTACTTCAACATTGCCACACTGGGGGCACCAAACTTCCAGCTGATGACCATTTGGGGAACACACTCAAAGCATACCCAAACCGCAGCATTCTGCAGTATGTGTCCAAAACATTCTACCCTAATACAGTTTCATTGTAGAGTATTTGACTAGTATGCACAACAACCTGCATTTATTGATCCCTAGCAACACACACACACAAAAAAAAAAAAAAAAAAAGAAAGAAAGAAAAGAAAAGAAGAGGAAGAATGAAAGAAAAGAGAAGAAAATTTAAAAAGAAAGATAATGCTGGGTATAGTGATGCACTCCTGTAATCCCAGCAGCTTGGAAGACTAAGGCAGGAGGATTGCAAGTTTGAAGTCAGCCTCAGCAATTTAGAGAGGCCCTGAGCAAGTTAGTGAGACACTATCTCAAAATAAAAAAATAAAATGGGCTGGGAATGTGGATCAGTGGTTAAGTACCCCTGGGTTCCAATCCTAGTAACAAAAATAAAATAAAATCCACCACCACCACCACCAACAACAACAACAAAAAAAACCATCAAAAATATTCCAATGTAAACACAATTTTAAGTTCAAAATAAAATCATGATCAACATATACATATACACACATAAAGKAATTGATGTAAAAATGTGTTTTTAAAAGATTTTTTTTTTAAGTACAAGCATGTTAGAGAAGACAGTTACTAAAATGATTCCTTTCCTATCTTGCAGAGTTTTGTCTGGTACAGGTTAAGTTAGACTCCCTCTGTGAATTACTTTCCTATTGCTGCTATAATAACTGTAGAGGCTTAAGCAACACAAATTGATTAAGGAAGAGTTCTGGAGGTCAGAGTACCAAATGGGTCAACAGAGCTATATTCCTTCTGTTGGTCTTTCCCAGCTTCTAAGGGCTGTTGATTTCTTAATTGGTGTCTCTGTCTGACTCCAACCTCTGCTTATAGGCCACATCCCTTTCTCTGACTGACTCACCTGCCTTGCTCTCATAACAACCCTTGGGTTAAATGGGTCCAATATGTATAATCTATTCATCTCAAATTCTTTAATTTAACCAAATCTGTAAAGTCCTTTTATTATGTAAGGTTAGTACATCACAGGTTCCAGTGTTGGTACACAGACATCTTTGGGAGGGGTGGTCATTATGCTGCCTATCACACAAAGCTGAGAAATTCCCCCATGGGTCTTGAAACAGGTTGAGGTGGGTAAAAAGCTCAGGGTTCACAGTGGTAGCTATTTAAATGCAGTCCTTATATCCATAACTGTCAGTCTGGGCCGAATTCAAGAGTTGATTTAATGAAAAACCAATGAGATACGCCAAAATTATTTTGCCTCCTATTTTGGGGCTGGAGAGAGGATAAAGATATTTTTAAATAGTTTCTCCACTGTTTCTACTTAGTGAAAGCACATTCACTTGGAAGTTTAGTTTCTTGTTGTGTGGTTTCTTTTCTTTCTTCTTTTCTTTTTCTT